TGGGATTCGACCTGATGATTGTAGTGATCTAGGCACAACCACGACTTAGACCGCTACATACTATCAACCCCACTCCCCTCCCCTATTCCTATGACTAATTTGCCTATAATGATGAACATAATTGCCAGCATGTTACTTTTTACGCCCTCTCTATATACATCTAATGGCCCGAGGAGAATTTATCGAAAGCTACGTATGCTCGCCAGATATTTTTCTGTACTCTCTGTTTTTTGAACTTTTGCGAGTTAGAAAGAGAATGCAATCTGCGTGGTTGCTAAACCCTGTCATCCCTATGGCTCAGCTTAAGTATTTGTTGGGAATGCGCCCATTCCCATGATTATTCACCTCAAAAAAGGCCCGCGAACTCATCTTACGCAGCTGTCATGAGAGCGCGACGTGACTATCGATTTTTCCTCCGATCCTGATTGGCCCATTGTCGGACGATGTCTCTCGCGTTTCCTTTAAAGTATATGCAGCCTGTGTCTGACTTGACTTGCACTGACGTACTGTAACGTGCTCTGTCTGCGTAGACTATCTCAGTCCCTGGACGACTGGTCTTTTCTCTGTCTCGCTCTTACGGGTTCTTGGGGTACTGGTTCGTGCGATTAAAAGTGCCAGGCGTGGGTCATGACAGTATTTCATAGGTTTCCCAAAATGCCTACCGGATTTAATTGGCTAGTCAATAACACGAAAACTCCAAGGGCGTCTAACTGAGTATTCATTAAGCACTCACTCACTTCATATGTATCTTAATTATTTCTGATGCAAGTATGCGCCGCGACTTGACAGTTAGCGTTATTGCGCTGCACTGCTTTCGCATGTTCGACAGTTCGCGTCTTGAGAATTCTTCCAGTTTCTCCGACGTGGTTGCTTTATCCGAAACTGCAGCAGGTGCTATAACCAACTCCAGATGTTTCATGCTGTGGCAGTGAGTCACTCGGAGAGCACGCAATTTCCAATGCCGGGGCAGGTGAGTCAGGTAGCCGAACAATAATCAGGCCAATTTCGAACATGGCCGATGAAATTCCAACAGGTCATGACCCGCACGCTGGCCATTGATCAGGCATCGCCCCAGAGGAGCAGCCATTCCCTGTTATAGGTATTCAGTGGCATAATGACAGCACCCTATAAATACTGCGACTCCCTGTGCGTGAGTTATCCATACTATCCCTGATGATGACTTCCAGCCTGAATCTGAAATCTCAGGCGAATAAGGTTCTTGATCCAGCGACTGCGTCTTCTCGACTACTTCCTGAGACCCACTTTTTCGCTTTTATCTGTAATTAAGTAATATTTTTTGGGAAACTGCTGAATGTTACTTGACCTTTCCTCTTGGTAGATAAAGTCCGGAAAGAGTGCGCGTTTAGTCCCAGTATAGTTCTGTCTTCTTGGCCTCTGCCAAACCATTATAGCGATTTATTGATAAATTTACTGACATCCTGGTTAGGAAATGTCAAGCGCATTATTCTCGCCACACACCTGATTTACCAATGCACATACATACTTTCCCACCATTAATTCAATAATTCGGTTCTCATGTTTGTTGTGTTCAACAAAGTTGTTTAATTTGATGTAGTCCGAAATCGATTTAACCCTCCGCATCGATTATATTCGACAAGTACTCAGCGTCGTACTCCTGCTTTCTTGATCACAGAGGTTGCCGTGCACGGCAGTCCTATGCTTACGAGCTTTCAAAACTGACAGATTAGCATGACTTAGAAGCGTGCATTGTCTATGTTTAGCACTTGACCGAACTGGGGGCTGGCAGACTGTTCTGTTCTTTGTCAGAAATATTGACCATCTGCGCATACCTTAATCGGTAGGAATTTGCCGTAGGGGCGCCTGAAGGTAGATTGAGATAACAAAGAACTACTTGTGATATTTGAATAGTTCGAATTTCGTAATCATTTTTTTTTATTATAAATGAAAACTTTCACACCCAACTGCAGTTCCTGCGAAGAGTTATCAATCTCTCACCCTTTCGACCCCCCGTA